CTAAAAAGTATTAGGTGTGTCCCGCGCGCTCATATGACCTTATGCAGTTGCGAGCGCCGTAAAACCCTATACTAAACAAACAAATTAAGAATTGAGCCATTAAATACTATGTATGAACTAACCACTTAAAAAACATTGCATCTGAGGCATTTGGTTAGGTACTAAGAAGACATAAGTTCGATCCCCCACATGGGAGTAGTTACATCATCGAGTATCTCCATATATTCTGTCTGCTGTGATGTATGTATGTTGAATCTCTCACACAGTGGGTTGGCCTTGACTGACAGGGTCCAAGCAGCCTGGCCCCTAAATGATTTAAATTAAGTCAAAGAGGAGTGCAGCTTGGGAGTGGGGGGGGGGGTGATAAGCTACGATTAGCCATAAAATCGTTATCCTCCCACTACATGTTTACATAATGGCAAAACTGATGTACAAGTACACCGAGAATTGAGCAGTTAAGTAATAAATACATACCCTAACCTTCAGCAGGCCTGACACTGGACTGGAGACAAAATTATGCTAATATCAATATATTTATTCCTTTATTCTATATCATGCTATAGAAAAAGTTCAAAAGCCATTTACACAGTTCACATTTAGCCTTATTTCGAACAGTGTCTTCCAATCAATAAAACATTAAGCACCTCTAAAATTAAAAGTGACAGATTATGAAAATACAGATCTATATGTCATGACCCGTTAGAATCAGGCGCCCTGTCAATTTTTAGGCTCCTGGAATTATTGCTATAGTCTTAAATCTTGTTCCTTTGTCTTGATTGGGGGGGGGGGGTATCCATTATCTGAAGACGAGTCGAGCTAGATCTATTAATTTTGTGACTGAGGGAGGTTGGGATCGCCTGGTGTCAGAGATAAAATATAAGGCCAGAAAATGGTCACCAAAGTATGGACACTTCCAAAGCTTGAGCGTCTTTGGTAACTGCAAATTTATATTTTATGTGCCTTGACCAACGTTTTTCAGTAAAATCCACATACAGAAATGTGCTTTCAAATAGACATAAAAGGTGTTGAGCCAAAAAAAAAGACAAAAAAACATTAAAATTGCCAAAAGGGTAGTGAACTGTTGGCTTTTTCAATTTCATTATTTTGAGGAGTGTCCGATTTCACCACAATAACACACATATATACACAGGTACAATCTCAAGAATTCAAATAAAGATTGCATATTCTGTAAATGATAATAATAATACATGGTCAAAATAATAATTTTGATGATACTACTACTACTACT